CCCGCTCATCCCCAGAGGGAGCTGGCCCTCAAAAAGTCCTAGGCCTTAGGCGTTAGGACGTTTAAGACTAAGACTATCCAGCGAGAATGACGGTCCGCAGAACCGCCTTCTGCTAGAAGCCTTCGGCCTGGGAGCGCCACTCTGACTCTAGAATCTGCGGAGTACGAAAAGTGACGCCCCCAGAATGAGGAGCTGGAACACGATAGGTTGGGACTGCTCCCGCCCAGCAGCCCCTGCTGACCGCCTCAACCTCCTCAGAGGAAGAGAGGTAAACGCATGCTGAAAAGGAGGAACCATGATAAGGAGGTGGCAGATGTTTACGTAGCTAGCTTGAAGCCCGTGGGGCTGTCGGTAAGAACAGGTCCAGTCTAGTCAAACCAGGTATATGAAAGTTTATTGTACATCCAAGGAGTTTTGGTGCATGTAGATGTGCGTGTGTGCATGTGCGTGTGTGCGTGTGGTTTATGGTCAATTACGCACATGCAGCAAAAACAGTATGAAAGGAGTAAAACTCAGTCCTCTGCACAGTACAACCACATGCAGCAAAACGTAGGCTGTGGACACAGGTGCAGCTAATAAAGTCTGTGAGATAGCTCTAACTGGCTTGAGATTGGGTGGGTGGAGCTTGGGGCTAGCAGGGAACTGAACAGGCTAAGGGGGGTGTGGCACTGCTTTGAGGGTGCAGCTTAGGGACACAAAAACTTTACAACAGCCGCCCCCAAATTTGTAGTGCACATTTGACAATTTACAGAGGATCAGGTAGGGCCGGGAGAGGAACAAGGTGGGCAACGGGCCTTGTGTATGTCCTGTCCTTGACTTGGACATCAGCAACCCTACAACGGCCATCCTTGCTGGGATGGAGGGAGATGACTTTGCCCACTGACCACTGAGATCGGGGAAGTTGAGGATCAAGAATCAAGACGACAGTGCTAGGTTGCAGGTTAGGATTGTCGGTGCACCACTTCTGTCTGGACTGAAGAGCGGGGAGGTAATTTCTCATGAAATGAGCCCAAAAATTATCAGAAAGGATTTGACTATGACGCCGACTGTACAGCTCAGTGTCTGGATATGTTACAAGAGGAAGGGAAGCATCATGCTGCCCCATTAGCAGCAAATTAGGGGTCACAGGGTCAGGATCAGCAATGTCAGAGGAGGCATAGCCTAAGGGCTTGGAATTTAGAATGCCTTCTATTTCAATCATGACTGTGCGTAATACCTCTTCACTTACAGTTTGAGCACCAAGGGTGGTCTCCAGGGCAATTTTGATGGAGCGTATTTCGCACTCCCAGGTTCCACCAAAGTGGGGCGCGTGTGGAGGATTAAATTGGAAGGAAATCTTCTGCTTGGCCAGAGCTGCCTGAAGGTCAGGGGTTAAGGATTTATAGGATTCCAGTAGCTCTTTATTGCCTCCAATGAAGTTGGTACCTCTGTCAGAGAGCAGCTCAAATGGTTTACCTTTACGAGCAATGAAACGCCGGAGTGCCATCAAGAAGGAATCTGTATTCATGTGACCGAGTAGATCAAGGTGCACGCACCTAGTAGTCAGACATTTAAAAATGATTCCCCACCTCTTCTCAGCTCGTCTGCCAATCTTTATTGTGTAGGGCCTGAAGCAATCCACCCCGGTGGAGTAGAATGGAGGTTTGCAAAGGCGGAGGCGGGCTGGAGGAAGATCTGCCATTCGGGGAATAATAGGATGGGCACGGAACTGCTGGCACTTAGGGCACCTATGCTGATGTTTTCGGACCAACTCACGACCCCTCAGATTCCAGTACTTTCTCCTTAACAGCGGGAAAAGCACAATCAGCCCCCCGAGAGCCGACTGTGTGAGCTCCGCTCCCCATTAATGCTGCTCATTATAACATTAGGCATAATATGCTTCTGTAACTGATGCTTGTGCAACTGGCGAGCTCTTCGACGCCCTCCATATCAATCTACTCTGAGAAAGACAGAGTGGGTGCCGGATCTGGTGGTTAAGGAAGCAGATAGGGACTCGTCCGTCTACATTACCTCCACCGGATCCATATGCGAAACCCACGAGCACAGCCGCCGCTCCGCCTTGGCGAAAGCGGGGCCGGCACCGCGAGGAACGCTAGTGAAGGCTCCCTAATCAAAGAGAGCCCTCTGAGAGCGAAGCAAGGCAGTAACAAACGCTTGCAATGCGGGCAGTCAGCTCCCTTGAGAGCTCCCTCGACTCTGTGTGCTTCGCTCCCAAGCAGACAACAAACAAACTGTGTGTATCCCCACCCGTAATGTAACGCGGGCAGGGAGGAACACACAGCCTGAAACGCTGCCTGCCCTCGCCCTTGAGGTGTTTGGTTTTGTCTTGTGCTTTTGACATGATTTCGTGACAAACAACACTAAATAAGACTCACAAACAGATATCAGACTGACACACACACACAGAGCGCTTGCTGAATGACAGAAAGCTGACGCCGGTTTCACCACACGTGCTTTTAAGCTCCCTGGTCGCTACGTCACCCCGCCCGTGATGTCTCGCCCATCCATTGGACTGATTACACACGTGATTCAGAGCCGGTCACGCTGAAGGGCATTCCCAAAGCGTTCTCCGATGCAGCTCGATTTCCTGAAAAGGAACGTTTGCCATGGTGCTATGGAGTTTTGAGTGTCAGCGTGTCTATATGCGATTGCCAAGGTGTTTTATTTTTAGCTCATTTAAATGCTAAGGTGTTATGTGTGGTTTCTCATCAAAAGAGGTCACCTCAAAGTCTCCATGATATTCTGGTATCAAGATATATCACATGTGTAGTGTGAACAATACAGGATTAAATACACAACAAATTTCATACTTGGAGTAAGGAATTTGTTCAGATCAATAACCCTGAGTATGAACAATAATAATAGCAATGCTTACCTTAGCAAACCGCACTAAAGCTTTGTTAGGTGCATGCAGTAATCATACAATCAACACACATTTATTTTATGACATTTTAAGAATTCAATTTACAATTGAAGCCCCAGCTGTTTGTATCTGTTCCTTTCATTAACAACTTGCTCATCATGGCGCGTAAACACATTAAAAATTAAGATGCCTCTGATTAGAATATTTACATTTGCTCTCTGACCTCAAATTAGTTGAAGCATTTTTCACCGAAGACTTAATCACCATGATACTGTTTACACAGCCTGTCCCAGTGGTGGAAACCGGGCCACGATCAGAACTGACTAAGCAGTGGATGGCGTCTTATGCGCGCATGCTAAATCCAGAGGATTACGCTTGGATCAGTAGAGAAATAAACGAGACATGGTATAGAGAGTGGCCACATTTCAGACATATTAGCTACCCTAATGAATTTGTTTCATTAGCTCACAATGGACGCTGTTTGGTAATTAACACAGTGATCTTTTCATGAAATCCCAAGAGCAGAATTTGGAATTCAATTGTGCTTTTCCTTAAAGGAATTGTTCAGCCCAAAATGCAAATGCTATCATCAATTATGCACTTTCGTGTGATTTTATTTCTTCCGTGAACACAAAAGATAATAGAAATACACTGAAAGTGGTTGATGATTTAAACATCCAAGCTCCAAAATGGACCAAACAAAATGCATGTGCGTGTCACTGTGTTTCTGTAAAAGCATTCTTACTCTTGCAGGTAGACTTCTCCTCCAGCCCTTCCCACGTTGCATTAGCTAAGCATTTGATGGTCCTCCTGCCTGCCAGATAGTAGCCGGGGGAACAGCTTAGCATTATTCGTGCACTGAACTCATTCAGCAAGCCTGAGATGAGACGCCACACCATGTGTTCTGAGAGCAAGCTCTCAATGTTAGGGCACTGAACCGCTGCAGGACAGAAGGCAAAGAATGCATTAATGGAAAACAATGACCTTGTGGGTCCTAGAACTGGAATAACTAGAGCTTACAGGAATTATGGAATAGATATATAATACCAGTGAAAAGTTAGGACACACTTGACTGAATATATGTTTTTCAGGGCTTCTCAAAGGCTTCTTTACATGCTTAAAATTACATTAAAATGTCAGTTATCTTATTTAAAATTAATGATTCGAAAAGTAGCCAACAAGCGCCCAGAATATGCTGTTTAGAAAGCATCCTGTAAGCTGTGTGCAAAATTTGAACTGTGTCATATGAGGTGGTTTGTGAATTTTCAGTCAAATAACACATCGTCGTTGTTCTTAAAAACAGGTTGACCTGCCTCAAACTCACACTAATGGTTGACAATCTTGGACTGACTTCAAACAAAGAGAGCACTGTTTGAAAGAGTTTTCACTTCTTGTAAGTCAACCTATGAATGGCTTGGCTTTCGTTCCATTTTGTTAGCACATTTACGATTGGAAAATGTGGTTGATTTGTCTTGTGTGTTTATATAAAGGTGGTTGAAAACTGAAGTGGAAACATAAGGTTTCAGAGTAACTATTTCAGCCAGCATGGAACAGATGGTCCTTTGATTGAACAGCACAGTGCATCGCTCGGATTCAAAAGAAGCGTAATTTGGTGCGGGCGCATCAAACTTGCAAAAAGTCTTGTAAGCTAGGTCAGGTATACTACACAAGATCTTAAGTAGAGCAAAACATCTTTCCCTCCCCCTGCCTTTATCTCTCACATAATGTTCTCTCTCCATGTTCTACATGACAAAGGTTTCATGTCCCTCAGCTCGCACTTGTTTAGATAATTGCAAACAGCTCGAGTGCTTTACAATACAGCTAGTCTCAGAAACTGTGGATGTGTCATGCTATCAACTGAAAGCTCTAGAATGAAAGATCACCTTGACATGGTGTTACAGAGCAGGGCAGAAGCCTCATCCTTTCTCCTTCCCAACGATGATGAGGAATATCATAATATTAAATGACATTATCTGTAGCAGCATCGGCTGTAATGAGCGTCTTTCTCGCTGTGCCCTCTGAATGCATAATACTTGGTTATTTGGCTGTGGGCTCTTTAGTCGGCTTTGTAGGCTAATGGTAATTCAGGTCAGAGGGGGGACATGTCATATCAGACCATTTGTCTTGTTTGAGTTGCCAAACCACAAAAAATCAAGTCATTATTGTTAATTTTGCCAATTACCTGCCCTACATTACTCTCAGAGGGGGAACCGAGCGAGAAAGCGGCTGACTGCGGCGGTTCAATGAGGCGGTAGATTTTAACATGCTGTTGGCATAGAAACAGAGGGCTTGATTTGCTCACGTAAACAGTGGGTAGGATGTGCCACGTTGCTCCAGGTGCCATCCTCCAGGCAGACGGCAGTGAGCAGGCTGCTTGCGTCAGGCTTATAGCCCTCCTCGCATTGGTACTGCACCTTACTGCCCACTGTGTATTGGAAGCCGTGGAATGAGCCATTAGCAGGAAACTCTGGCACTCCGCAAGACACAGCTGCCAATCAGATACAAACAGTATTACAGGTGGATACATGCTATACAGTCTATCTATATATAAAAATATTCCATTCAAATTCTATAATGTGTGATGTCGTAATAACAAATGTCTAACTTGGAAGTAGCAGCTTTGCAGAAACACTGGAAGGTGGTTAAATCAAAAAAAATTGTATTGTATTGTATTGTATTTGTTTGTTTGTTTGTTTCCAACCCAAATCTGCTATGTTGAAAAACACTTCACAGTAAGGTTTCATTTCTTAAGATGAGTTAACTACATTGTTTAAAATTAACTAAACAATAACTTCTAACAATAAACAATACTTCTAAAGCATTTACTAATCTTAGTTAATGTTAATTTCAACGTTAACTAATAAATTATTAAATAAAAAAAAGTTGAATAGACTTTAGCTAACAATGTAAATTATATTTACTATTTATATTTATATTATTTTAAATGTATTGCTCATTGTTAGTAAATGCATTAACTAATGGTCTAATAGTCCTCTATTACAAACAACCATTCATATATGAAATTTACTCTTTTCAACAAGAAAAAATAAGAGGGGGGTCTCTAAAAAAACTGCAGGCACACACAAGCATTCAGAGGAAAGCAATGGGACCAATTAAAGCTCTTCCTTGTTAAAATGATCACAACTTGAATAAAAATCAGGCCCTGAGCCTTCCTCTACCTCAGACTGACCTGCTGGCAGACTTCATGGATCGCTCCCACCACTTAAAGAAATTATTGGCCTTAATTAGCACCCATTCTAGATGCCCTTCAATACAAATGGGGCCAAGCCAGGGCTATTCTGAGCTCCGTGCAATAGTAAAATGATATTCGTGCTATAACCTCCAGTCCTTGAAATGCTGTCATTTACCTTTGTGTGATTAAGAGTAATGAGATTCCTTGAGTAAAATCTTTGCTTGTTGAATGTATAGAAACTTTGGCTGGCATCTTTGTGAAACGTCCTTAAAAGGTGAAAATTTAAGTGCAGCTCTGGGCACCATTTTTGGGCAGCAGTCAGAAGAAGCTTTTCATTCACTAGAATGCTCTGAGCCATGGCAGACTGGATAGTGTACCTGCTCACGACATACAGTATAAAAGCTGTGTGCTAACAGGAGTGCTTTCCACTGTCCTATACAATAGCGTTAAAAATAAAAACAATACTGTGCGATATAACTGTGGCCTGGAATAATCAAAGGAAACTTTTCATTAAGATCCAGTGTGGCATTCTTAAGTCGACCTCCTATCCTGAGAAGCCCTCCACTGTCCAGGTAAGGGCTCAGCTTTTTCAGAGGACTGTTCCTTGGAATGTCGTTTCTCTTGACAATGCAGTTAAGCTCTTCTTTGTAGGCTTCTCTCTGCACATTCTTTATTATGGCTGCTTCTGCTTGTAACAATTCTTCCACTGAGCGAGGCTTTGAGCAGTGGTGCCATGATCTACAGGTATTGTGATGATCATTCGCCTTGTAAGCCTGGACGATGTGTATGAGGGAAGCTATGGCTCTGACTAGAGACCTCCAAGAAGAGAATCGCTCAAAGCGTTGACATCTGAGGTAAGAACCATCAGTGGATAGAGTGGTGACAAGAGAACGAACCTCTGTGTCTGAGTCTGGCTCGATGAGATCAAACCTCTCTTCCTCAGATGATAAACTTTGTTTAGCTTGTAACAGGAAAGCAGGTCCTGTAAGCCAAGTGGTGGTGCTCAACAGATCTGCTGGTATAGAACGAGTGGCATGGTCTGCAGGGTTATGCTTCGTAGAGATATAATGCCACTGTGTTGGGCTTGACACCTTCCTGATACGCTGCACTCTGTTGGCAGCGTATACATAAAAACGTCTCGTCTGGTTATAGAGATATCCCAGGACAACTCTGCTATCAGTGTAAAACTCCACAGCATCTAGAGAGAAGTCCAGCTCATCCATGATTGTCTCTGCCAACTCTGCAGCTAAAACCGCAGCTCCCAATTCCAATCTGGGAATCGTATGAGCAGCTTGTGGAGCTAACTTCGCCTTCCCTAGGACGAACCCAGTATGACATGCACCTTCTTCACTGATGACATGAAGATATGCCACCGCTGCTATCGCTCTGACAGAAGCATCTGAGAAAACATGTAGTTCCTTTCAATTATTAATGTTCTTTGTTGTTACACCAAACTGCCACAAGATGGTGCTAAAAAATAACAAACGAATGCGTGACATGACATATACACACACACACACACACACACACACACACAAAAAATTATATATATATATATATATATACTGTATACTGTATATATATAGAATCTAACAAAAACATTGTGTTTTAGTTTAACTTCCTGAAGTTAATGGTGAACACTTTCTCAAGGTTAAGCACATCTTCTTTGACGGACCATTTGTTACAAGAAAAAAGAAAAGAAGAAGGAAAAAAAAAACACATCAATGACTTTATTCTTTTAAAAGTTTTAGACTCTATTATTCCTACATTATTCATGGAAAGTGCAATATACTTAATCGTTATATAATCATCTCAGCCTCATCTCTTAACCTGCCTTAAACTTGCACAAATAACAGCTGGAACAATTAGGCCTACATACTGTTCATTCGCTCACTATTTTTATGCAAGTGCACGTCTGACGGATGACTCGTCTTGCTAATGAATGCACAGCAAACCTCCAGAAGAGACCATTTTCTTTGACAATGCTCTGGAACAGACGACACGAGGGCTCGGAGTGTGAAAGGAGAAAGGGCGGACAAAACACCACGTAGGCTGAAGGATAAAATTAGCACCTCAATAAAAGAGGAAGGAGCAGAGAAGGAAGCATGGACAATGAAATTAAGAGAAACCGCGACACATCAAACACATTCAATTACATTTCTGTCTTAGTCCTAGCGTGACTGAAGAGTCGCCCATTATGACATTGGAACAAAGGACACTCGTGATCTCATTGCACAGTCCTCGACGGAAGTGTTTAATGGAATAAAAGCGGCTTCTTGTCGAGGCGTGCGGAGGTGCTTTTGAGTACCCCGTAGAATGACACATTTTTTCATATGCGGGGAGGCAGGTCGCCTTTTCAAGGCAATTCCCTGTCATTTGAATGAGGAGAATGAGCCAGTGAATATCTCTGCGGAGTATGAGTTACCTTGACACAGTGGGGCCGGATTGTCCCACTGGTAAAGTCCATTGAGATGGAGTCTGCATGTGGCATTTCTGTGACCCACGAGCCTGAAGCCAGCATTGCAGTAATATTGGAGCCTGCTGCCTGGCCGATCTCTCGCCCTATTAATGACTCCTCCATTCTTGGGTTGATCGTTCACACTGCAGTACGTGGCTGCGGGAGATGGAAACAAGCACAGTTTGTCATAGTATGATGTTAAGATAAAACTTCACAGATAAAAGCAGTGCTGATTCCTTGTCATAAACACTTCATGTTTTAAGCATACATATACTTACGTTATAATTTCCTTTGAAAGTAGGCTAAATATATTTATTTTTAGATATGTTACTTGAAAACAAGACAAAGATAGTGATTAAAGACTGCTGACATGCCATAACCTTCAAAAACCATTACCCAACCTACATAAGGCATTTTTGCAACCCTGCATATGCTAAATATGGCTTCAGCTGGAACAAGGACAGACATGGTTTGTGCTTAGTGTTTAGTGTCCTAAATTATTGGGATAATAAATGTAATTACAAAAAAAAAGGCAATTTCTGTTTACATTTATATAATAAACTATTTTAGTATTTTGTTGACCAATGTAAAATCTGAGTCCTGAAGCAAAAGCAGTTTTCCTCTTCTCTAGACAGCTTTTTATTGGACAAAAAAAATATCCAAGAGCAATTCATATTTTTTATCTATTTCCTCACAAGAAAAAGACTGTACATTTTAAATATGTTTATCTAAGTTAATTTAGTCAACTTTTTTGGTGGTACACGGCCATTTAGATGAACTCAAAACTAACAGATGTGGACTAAAAAAGCCATCCAACTCAAGCTTGGAATTCATGAGGTCTTTACAACTGTGTTTAAGCTTGATTCTGAGATAAAACGAAAAAGAGAAAATGCAGCTTGATGGTTATGATCAGATCGTTAGATCTTGTTTTTGATGTGACACAAATACAAGTTTACCCATCATAAAATGGAAAGCAGAAGCTCGAGGGATGTCAAAGCTTAATCTCACTTCAGACAGATCGAATCAAATGCATCATCACACCAACTCTGCTGAGAGGTTTAGACTTAGCTGTGAGTGATTAACTAGACCTAGCATAAAAAAATATTGAATATAAATTAAATTTTCTTTACCCTTAAAGCCCAACAGACTAAGAAAGGCGGGAAAAACAAGGAGGGGCTTGAAGTTGCTTCTCAAAGATGTTTTGTAGAGATAAAGGTGTTATATTTATCATAAAGCATTGCCTACATCCTGTAATCATTGAAATTCAAGAAAAAAAAGTAGTAACCACTATGTTCAAAAACATAGTCCCTCTGAGCAACATAATGGTTTCTCGTTCGGTCTGCTCTTGACAAAATCCAATAAACAGGAAACAGGTGGCAACACACTGGAATAATGGGCCTGCATAGGGCATGGCATGTCAGAAAGATCAACTGAAATGAACACAGAGAGCAATAAATGTTGACAGAGAGGCAGAGAAATGGGAACGTGTGAAGAGATGCCGAGTAATCATGTCCACTGGCTTTGTGGCCCATATATCATGTTTAGCCATTGGTGGAAATGTCGGTCAGAAACAAACGACATGGTAGTTATTCAGCAAAATTCATTACTGCATCTTTGACCTCTATTACAGCAGACTTGCCAATGGCTCCCTGAAGGTAGGACATGTCTGGTTCTAGCCTAATGAGGGCTAAATTAGAAAAAGCTGACTTTTTCACTTATTGACCCATTTGGATCCAAAGCAACAACCTTGGGGGGCTAAATGGTGGGAATTAATCTGACACACATATTGCATGCTATTGAATATACCAATAGATTAATTAGAGAGAACTGTAAATGCCTGTTTAAAATGCCTGGATGCATCAAATGTGGAATCAAACAAATGGAGCTAGAGAATTTTATTTATTTTTTTTTTGGGTGGATTTCTTCCTTCTACAAGTGTTGCTGGTTTTGTGTTCAATAAGTAATTTGTTTTTCCAAGTTTCTAAGAATAACCCTGCAGTACTTCTGGATGCATGCAAAACATGAAAAGTTATACATCTCTTACAAACCTGTGTAACGTATTTTGAAGCCTTTCTTGCTGGTCGCATGATCAGTTGACCATCTGAGGTAAAGCTGGTTTGTTTTGCTAGTGAAATTCAATTGAGTGGAGTGGTTCCCACTCAGAGCTACCAGCAACGGACTCTGTCCAGATGGCCCTGGTAAATAAAACATCACAAAAAACAACAAGTAAAGCTAAATATTGCAAACCACAAATCTGTTGGGCAGCAACATGGCAGACGTGACTGAAAGAACAAATGTCGTAGAGCAGTGGTTCTCAGTCTTTTCAAGCCAAGTGCCACCTTTGATCAAATCAGCACAACCTAGCCATCACTACTGTTTACACTACACTGCTTTTCCTGTCACTTGGCTGGGTCCTTGAGGATCTTTAGAAATGCTCTAAAACACATATAATAAAATTGAAAAGTTGTATTATCCATTTCATATCCACTAACACCTAATCATAAATATATTTCTGAAACCTGAGCAATTTACTGTATCTTAAAACTTATCTTGTCTGTTTTTGAGTAACTGGATTGCTCTGCATTATGGAATTTATGTTCAAAACTGAGTGCTGCAGGTGATTTATTTTATTCAGTAGAACAGTAAAGAAGATTTATAATAATAAGATAAATAAACTAGCCTTAATCAACTCACTTTTTCACATAAACCATTTATTAAAGGTTCATACCACGAACCTTTCATTTTACCCCTTTATTCAAGTGCTCAGTTTACACATGCTCGTATCAGCAAGTTCTTTGGTTCAAATCTGAACTTATACTGAACTGAGGCAATAATATTGTAAATAATGTTCAGTTATCAATCATTTTGCTTCAAAAGACCTCAAAATATTGCCAGGAGCCACGGGAATTAATTTTGTGTTGCCTGCATATGTTTTTTTTCACTCTTAAAGTGATGGTAGCCACTAACATTTTGTGAATCACCAAGGACCACAGTTTCAGCTAAAAATCTTCTTTACTGCCCTACTGAAGAAAAAAAAAAACAGTTACCTACATACAGTTACCTTGGATGGCCTGAGGGTGAGTACATTAACAGCAAAATTTCATTTTTGGGTGAATAAGCATGCCTCCTAAATATAAAGCTCAACAATTTTATTTTTAGTATTATTATTTTTTAATTGTATCAGTTTTTGGCTATACCTTTTGTTTTAATAGTGTGTATTGTTTATGTACAAATGATTTGTCCAAACATATTTTTTTGTGATCTAAAGTGTTGTTGTTAGCAGAATAGAATAGAATAGAATCTACCATCAAAGATCTCCAGTTCGTCAAACTGCTTCTCGCTCTGAAACATTTCCACATAAATGGCGATGGTAAAGGCAGGCTGCACTCTGATGATCCAAGAGCAGGTCTGGGAGTTGGGGTAGTTTTTTGGGAAGCCTGGACTCAGGATCACACCAGAGGAGGCAGACTGTTCCTCATTTGCGGGACACTGAGCTGTAGCGTAGACACAGCATTTCACAGGAATCATGGCTATTATTACAAATCACAATGTGGTCATCCTACTAACAAAGCACAAGATGCAAGCTCCAGAGTATTTCGGTAAAAACTGTAAAGTTTAAGAACTTTCTCCAACATGCGCACTGCTTCTCCTGGATTTACCTCAGGGGCCACGAGCCTTGGTTTGAGGAAGCACCAAAGTGAGTTGAAGCTTTTTGTTAATCCTCTTTGTGGGCGGGAGGGTGGAGGAAACAAACCAGGAGAACTATCGCTTATTCATGGCACTGTACAGAAAGTACAGACAAGCCAAACGGCTCAGATTTACAACTGAAAGCTTTGCTGTGGATAACTGGAATGCTTCCCCCCCCACTTTGCTCCCAAGACAGCTGTCGGCTACTGTCTATTTGTTACCATACAACAAAACAATGCAGCCTCTGGGGTGTTCAGTGCCATCTTTTTATGGATTACAATTTTACAAGCTTTGATTACAAGAATCACACTAATGATTCAACATCTTTATTATTTTAGATTGGTGGTCTCCAGCCGTCTTTAAATTATTTACATGAAGTACTTCCTTTTGGTTGTGTTGTGTAATTCCTCCCAACAAAACAATGCTGCCTCTGGGGTGTTCAGTGCCATCTTTTTATGGATTATATTTTTGCAAGCTTTGATTACAAGAACCATACTAACGATTCAACATCTTTATTATTTCAGATTGGTGACCCCCAACCATCTTTAAATTATTTACATGAAGTACTTCCTTTTGGTTGTGTTTTGTAATTTCCATTATTAAATAGATATTCATTACTGTGTTATATTTCTTTGTTTGTGTATTACCATTATAGAATGTTTGTAAAGTTTAGGCAAGTTTAAGTTTCAGGTTTTATGCTGCATCAGAGTCACTTTGCCATCATCAGGATGCTAAGCTTGCATCTTGTTTTCTGTCAGCACCAAAATAAACAATGCAAGGTCACTATATATCATTAATACGCATGTGATATCAAATCATAATTCAGTATGCAGCGTATGTTAAAGATAATACACCAACATTGCATATAAACACGTTACAATTTGAATAATTTACTATTATTGTTCTACAATTCGACAATCAAAATGAGAATACTTTAACAGTAATTAGTGGAAAAAATATATATATATAATGACATTTATATATAATTGAAATAAATACATCACACACTTCGACAGGTTTTGTTCTTCACTGACCTTCACACACTGGTGGTGGACCATCGAACTGCAGGTGAGAATTCAGCTTACAGGTGAGCTCATCGCTACCAACCAATGTAAATCCAGGAAAGCATCTATACCTCACAATGTCACCTGCATGGTACAGTAAGACGGTAAGAAGAAATAAAAAATTTTCAAACATTTTTATAATCACGTATTTGATATTCTTGCACAAATGGACTGTTGTTCATACCGATTTCGTAGTCCTGGTCTTCAAATAATACCTCTGCTTGTTCAACCGTAGGGGGAGGAGGGCATCTCTTGAGCCCATAAGCTAAGGAAATAGAAAAGTTTTGAAGCAATTTGCCTTTTCGTTCTCCTTTATAGGCATGACACATCTCACACAAGGCAACCCACCCAGTGTATCAATTACACATACAACATGTGACAACATACAATTCTATGCATCGACATACAGGGAGCCCTCTCAAGAATAAAAGCTGCATTGAAACCAGCCGTCTATAACTCACAAATATGCCAGACTGAAATGAAAGTTGGAGGTATAGATGAAAGACCGGTTCACTTTCACACTCCGATTTTCCTATGCTGTTCAACACATGCCTGCATGCTGACACTGATATCAAAGAGGCCAAAGGAAGCTTCTATTTTTGACTCTTTAATCTCCAGAAATAACGTGATGTCATCAGAGGCAGCAGTCATGCCTCTTTAGAGAATAAAAACAAGTCGAATCCCATGTTTCGAATATATTTCGAGCGGCACTTTACGGTATGCATTCAGCGGCAACATTTTTAATTTGAAGGAGAAACTAACCATGGAAATTGAGGACAAAGAACCCACTTGTCGAGAAGTCGCTATGGAACTTGATAAGAACCTGATTGAAAGTGCTGTAGGCTGACTCGAGGGCTGTGTTGCCGCTGAAAATTCCCAGCTGTGGGTAGCTTTGCTCTGGGCCGTCCCTGGAAGAGGAAACACGCATTGAAATTACATTACAACCTGTGATCTTGCCATTAAACGGCATAATAATGCCTCCAAATTCTGAGTGGTTGGAGAAAATTGATTTACTTCCAAATTTACAATGAGGTTGTGCTGACTTTTGAATAAAAGCATTATATTACAGACCAGCTTCAACGAAAACAGCAAAAATGATGACTTAACAGACTAGTCCGCTTGTTTAATGGCTTTTGAAGATGAATGGCCAATATTACTGGGAACGCGCCGGAGATGTATATTTCCACGTTTTTAATCAACTCAGTACTGTTTCAGATTATTCAGTGGGAATTATGACATTTGGCTCTGTGATTATTACAAAATACCTGCGATTTAAAAACAAGCTTTCCATTCAGTTATTTCTGTAACTCCAGTAACGCTAGTAAAATAAATTAAAGTGTTTCAAATGAAGAAATTCTGTAAGACTTTAGTTTAGGGACCAATTCTCACTATTAACTTGTTGCTTATTTCCATGCCGATTATTAACATATTGGCTGTTTATTAGTACTTATAAAGCACATATTCTGCATGACCATATTCTATATCCCTAATCCTAACCAATACCTAAACTTAACAACTACCTTACTAACCATTAATAAGCAGCAAATTAGGGGTTTATTGAGGTAAAAGTTGTAGTTAATGGGAATGAGAATGGGACCTTTAAATAAAGTGTGACCAGAAATTCAAGAAAGTAGGTAAAAGATGTATATATATATATATATATATATACAGTATATATCATAATTTGTTGTTGTATTTGGAAAATTAGTTCAGTATTTTTTAAATGCTCTATTAAAATGCATTGCATTAATGATAATATTAATTACTCAGAAAGTAAAATGGTCACATTGGGGACCAGTTCTCACTATTAACGATCACTTTTGCCTCAATAAAATTCTAATTTGCTGTTTATTAATAGTTAGTAAGGTAGTTGTTAAGTTTAGGTATGGAGTAGTATTATGGGATCTAAAATATGGTCATGCAGAATAAGGCAGTAATATGTGCTTTATAAGTACTAATAAACAGCCAATATGCTAGTAGTATGCATGCTAATAAGCAACTAGTTAATAGTGAGAATTGGTCTCTAAACCAAAAGTGTTACCAGTAAAACATATCAATATCCCCATATTAATGGCAGGGTATTAATTGTTAATGGCAGATTATTAATCGTTATTGTAATTCATTGTAAATTACTGTAAATTATGCTTTATTATATATTTAATTTGATTTTATTTTTCATGAGAATCACGCTTTGAGTGAAAAGCTTCACGACTTCAAAGACAACTGAGCTTTTCTTGAAATCTTGCTTTGCACATTGACTACAGACTACAAATGTCAGTAAACAAAGCTCAATTTGCGTAATGATTTGCTTGATGTAAGACAACAATAGCAGCATTAGTCTAGTCTGAAAGCTGAAATAAATGTCTTGTCCTCATCTCAGTCTGATATTTGCTAAATGACTCGTTAAATGGAGCTGTGCTCACCAGACAGCGATATAGTCAGTCACAGGCTCAGTCTGGAGCAGGGTGAAGTTGATGTAAACCCCGTGACCATGGGGCACGGTGATGAGCCAAGTGCAGTCCTGAGAGTCTGGGTACTCATTTGGGTACTCTGGAGAGAAAATGGTGCCGTTTGGAGCCGTCACGTTGTAGCCGCAGGGAGCTGTGTGCAGATAAACATCATTCAACCATGACGGCATTAGTAATCTATCTTTCTGAATAACAGCTAATGTTAAACACCAGGGTATCCAGCAAAAATCAGAACACTTTCAGTGCAGTTCTTTTTTTATAAATCTCCAAAAACGGACCAAAAACACCATATAAAAAAGTATTAAAGAACAACTGTATGATTTCAGAAGACTTGCATGAGTCATATAGACTACTTTTTTGGTGCTTTTCTTCTCATGGTTTCTTGTCCATATTTTTTTTTTTTTTTTTTTTACAGACTTCACTATAAAGTCTTGTTGTATGGGGAGAAAAAATGAATAAATAAATAATATGAGAGTGCAGAAACAATGACAAAACATACATATTTTCTCGTTTAAAGACTATTATAGCAGATCGTACTGTTTCATTTGCAGATGAGTGAAAACTGAAGAAAAGAACAGAGCATTCCTGAGGCTGCTAGAAATAGATACTGGCACAGAGTTCACAACAGAATAACACAGTTACGATTAAAAAAGAAAGAAAAATGGCCCAATAGTCTATGCGGTGCAGATTCCCTGCAAACGGAAGCCTAGGAGGAATAAGTCGAGCGACTGATCGATAAGAGACAGGTTGGCTTTCACACTACACTACCCAGGCTAATCATCAAGGCTACAATTTAGAACAGCTCCCAGTAGCATATGTCTCCACTGTTCAGGTCTTCAAAGTCTGTTTTAAAGATGGCTTTAAAACACAATGGCTCTTATTGTACTAGTAATACAAAGTAGTAACACATCACTTAAAGAGCATAGTTAAAAAGGCATTTGGGAGAGTATAATACCTTTGTAAGTCTCGAAAAGTCAGAGAATTATTGATGCGTTTTGTTTCAAAGCGTGGGCAAAGAGGACTGAAAATAACAGTGTGCTGCTAATCACAACACGACTTGAAAAACTTGAGAAGGAAAAAGATCACATTTCTTTACTTTCTTCCCTTCCCTTTACCTTCACAGCGAGGAAAAGGGTGGTTCCACTTCCTGTTGATTCCATGCTGACATGTTAGCACATGGTGGCCGACCAACACATATCCAGGGAAGCATTCAAATGTTATGGACTGGCCTGCGTTGAAATCGCTGTTGATGATATACCCGTTGTGGAATGGATATGGGTCTTGACAGTTTTGTAATTCATATGCTAAAAGAAAAAAAAAAATAGAATATATGAATATCTGCAAAGCCATGTCTGAATGATATTCACTTCAAAGAACTGAAATAATTAAAATAATTGTTTAATTCTGTCATTATTCCCCACCCTCATGCCGCTCCAAATCCAAATTTATTTTGTGTAACATACAATAAGATGTTTATGCTTCACTGAAAAAAGACAATAAAATGGGCTTGGAACTGCATTATATAAGTGTGAACGAGATGACACATTTTTCTTCTAAATATCTGAAACCAAAAGTTTGAGACCACAAGCATGCATAAACAAACAAACAAATAAATGAATAAATAAGTTCATTAGACATTAGTTAATTAGCATAAAATGTTATTGGGAAATTTAACAGGTTTTGTTTGTCTCTCTTTTTCTTTTGCTTTAAAGTCCCCATTAAATCAAAATTAAAGTTTTTTGGGTGTTAGTATCAATATGTTAGTCTTAAGGTTATCTATAAGGCAGTTTGCTCCAAAACAGTGACAAAATTCGCATTTAGAAGATATAAGCATTCAAAGCTTTCAGGTCGTCACTTCCGCCAAAACGGCTCAACGATTTTTTTGACGTCACATCGTACTTCAGCTTCTCATCAAACTTTCTGTCCAATCAAATGCTCTCTAGAATCCGAAGCGCCCGCCCCCTACACTATAAAATAGACGCTGAAGCCGCGGCTGAAATCGGTCACTTGTCCACAGAATTAGTATTTTCTGTACAGTGAATGGCACGTAGTGCACTATGTAGGGGACAGGGAACGATTCAAACAGTGTAAATATGCTTTCCATTGAGGAAAAAAAGAAGTCTGGTTTGGCGCTGTGTCACGCTAACCACCGCACCGCACACACACTCTGCTCCGGTCCAGAGACACGATAGCACGGAGCGGTGGATGAGATTGTGGCTGGCATACCCTGTCAAATGCGGCTTTACGGAGCTCAACGGCTCTGAACGGCTCTAGCCCAAGCTGTGATATAAACGAATGCTATTGGCTATTTTAAAAAGGGGGGGGGCTGCTCGATATGTCCTGCCCTGTCTTCCTGTTTCAGTTAAAATGACGTCAACACATAGAGTAACCCTGCATGTTTCTAAGCATTTCAGGGGATCTTTAATGATAGCAGCACTCAAGTTGACACGAACTACACGTTTGGGACAGGTAAATAAATAAAGAAATACACTACAAATCCTGCTGTATCATATTTGATGCATGAACCTCTAAACTGTCAACATAATCAAACCTGCTGAAAAACCTGTTACACAATCTTCTACATGCCTTCTGCCCGCTAATTGATAGTACATACGTTTTTAGTAAGTAAAAGGCCTTTTAGTACAATTCTAAAAATGTAGATTGTGGTACATGTGCCTATTCTTAATTAAACGTAAGAATACCTTTTATATTGTTAGTTTTCAAGATTAACATTTACTGGACTGCAGCCAACTAGTTTTTTTTTTTTTTTTTTTATTATCCATACAACATTTATTTATTTATTTTTTAGAAATATTGTAGTGAATGTAAGTATCAAATATAATACAAGAGGCTTTTGGGCAACAGGTAACACTTTATAATAACTTTCATTAATAAATCATTAACACATATTATATAATGCTTAACAGATCATTGGTTAAAATAGATTAGAAATATGAGATAAAGTGCCTGTTAATCTTTACTAATGTACTCATTAAACATTAAGATTAACAGAGTGTTATTTAATGTAAAATGAAATGCTTGCAAATGTCATTAAACTTTCAATTCCTTTGATCATGCACATTTAAAAAATCTGCAAATTATTTTAACATAAATTATACAATGATTAAAAGCTTATTTATTATATATGCACTTTTCAATACTAACAAATGTCATTACACTTCAGGTCTACAAATGTTGTGGGGGAAAAAATCAGTCTGTTAAGGTCACTTTTGGTCTTTGTTGTGTAGACTTCTATTATTTAAACATTTTAACAAATCATTTATTAATGATTTGTTCATGTTTTTGCAGTACCCAATCTAAAGTTGAAACTATTCATCATTTGTAAATGTTTATAAATGTTTACTCATCATTTAATATCTTTATGGACATTAGACCTTTAGCAGCTATAACGACGTTTGTATAAAGGGTGGTTAGTTAAGTTTGGCTAAATGCTTGCTAAAGACAACACACATTGTAATTTGAGTGCATATGTTTTTATTGCCTCAACACTTATATTAGTATACTGCTGAATATCATTAAACAGGATGTTCCTGGAATCATGCATAAAAAGGAGAAAATGAATCAAGTTTTTCCAAGATTGAACCGTGTTCCCAGTGTTGGGGGTTCTCCAGGACCAGGATTGGGAACCACTGCCTTACAGTAATCAAACTGACCCCCATACATCTTAAACAACCCTTAAACCAGGCGTCTCAAACTCAATTCCTGGAGGGCCGGAGTCCTGCAGGGTTTAGTTCCAATCCTGCTCCAACACACATACCATGTAGTTTTCAAATAACCCTGAAGGACTTGATTAGTTGGATCAGGTGTGTTTAATTAGGGTTGAACCTAAACTCTGCAGGGCTCCGGCCCTCCAGGAATTGAGTTGGATACCCCTGCATTAAACCGACCCATACCACTAACCTGTCCCTAACCTTACCCGTATCACACCTCAATAGCAGCAAATGTGTTGTGCATTAACACAAGTTTTCATCCATTTTATAACATCTGTCAAAATATTTTTTTTTTTTAAAGTGCATGATCATTTGAATTGAAAGTTTGATGACATTTATAAGTATTTTAATTTACATTAAATAATGATCTGTTAATCATTAGGTAATGTTTAATAAGTTTGGTCACTTTATTTTAAAGTCAAATTCTCATTATTAACAAACCATTAACTACAACTTTTGCCTCAATAAACTCCTAATTTGTTGCTTATTAATGCTTAGTAAGGTAGTTGTTAAGTTTAGGTATTGGGTAGGATTTGGGATGTAGAATATGGTCATGCAGAATATGTGCTTTATAAGTACTAATAAACAGCTAATATATTAATAATAGGCATGCTAATAAGCAACTAGTTAATAGTGAGAATTGGACCCTATACTTGATAGTCTTACTTACTAATAAGTTTATTAGTAAACATTAACAAACACTTTATCTCAAATTAATTAGAGATGTGGAATATAGTAAGGCAGAATATGTGCTTTATAACTAATAAACAGCTAATATATTAATAATAGGCATGCTAATAAGCAACTAGTTAATAGTGAGAATTGGACCCTATACTTGATAGTCTTACTTACTAATAAGTTTATTAGTAAACATTAACAAACACTTTATCTCAAATTTCTAGCTATTTGAATATATATTAACTAATGATCAGTTCAGTATTATATAACGTTTGCTAATGATTTATTAATGAAAGTTAAAGGGGTCATATGATGCGATTTCAATTGTTCCTTTCTCTTTGGAGTGTTACAAGCTCTTGGTGCATAAAGAAGATCTGTAAAGTTGCAAAGACTAAAGTCTCAAATCCAAAGAGATATTCTTTATAAAAGTTAAGAGTCAGCCACACCTACCTAAAACGGCTCGTTCTAACACGCCCCCACATGTCTACCTCACTATCTGGGAAGATTTGCATAATGCTGCTCAAATGTTCACGCAAAGAAAGAAGGCGTTTATTCTCGCTGTAGTATTGTTGCTGCCATGTCGTGAAGCCGCTGTGTGCTTCGTTGTGAAAGCAAAACTACTTTGTTTGACCTTCCAAAAGAGGATGATATCGCTTCGTCATGCTTGGAGCTGATCCGTGCTGGTCGCTAAGGAAATACTTCAACTTCGCACTGTCGATCGCCGGTTTGGCTTTCACCGTGGACGAAGCGGAGTCCAGCCCGGGGTCGTCACATGTGGTTGCCGCAGGCATCACAATATGGTAAGGGACGTAACATTTCCATCACACGCTTGAGGAATTCGGCCAATCACAACGCACTGGATAGCTGGCCAATCAGAGCACACCTCGCTTTTTCAGACCGATGAGCTTTGTAAAAATCGACGCGTTTCAGAAAGGCAGGGCATAGAGGAGAAACAATAATGTACAGTATGTGGAAAAGAATGTGTTTTTTGAACCTTAAACCGCATAAACACATTTCATTACACCAGATACACAAAATAATGTTATTTTTAGCAGCATCATATGACCCCTTTAATATAAAGTGCTAACGGACAACATATATTTGTACATCTCTCACTATATCATATATGGGCGATAAAAGCATGATGTATGAACTAAATTAGCGCATCAATTAAAAAAATGACTAAATAATTTAATTTACTCAATCAACTTCAAAATGACAAGCATTCATTATGTTAAGGCATTAAAGGGACAGCAAGGTAACTACCACATTCAAGGTTCAGAAAAGTACCAAGATAATCGACAAAGTAGTCCGTGTGACATCAGTGGCTCAACTCGCATGACGCCAGCGTGTGGCGCAGGATCTGGGTCAGCGGCGCCACACGCTCGCGTCATGGTACTGTTGTGACCACGTGTCCAAAGTGACGCAGTAGAGACGAAAATGTGGAATAAAGTCGTTATTTTTGTTTTCTTTGCGCAAAAAAGTATTCTCGTAGCTTCGTAGCTTTACAGTTGAACCACTGATGTCACACGGACTACTTTGTCGATCATCTTGGTACTTTTCTGGACCTTGAACGTGGTAGTTACCTTGCTGTCTATGGGAGGGTCAGAGAGCCCTCATATTTCATCAAAAATATCTTAAATTGTGTTCCAAAGATGAACGAAGGGCTTACGGGTTTCGAACAACATGAGGGTGAGTAATTAATGACCGAATTTTCATTTTTGGGTGAACTAACCCTTTAACGACAAACACACATACAAGGTGTTGCTCATTTCTGTGTATCGTCACAAGTATGGTGAAGTACCATAAAGCTTGTCAAGCTAACATACAAGCATCTCCAGGCAGCATTTCAAGTGCAGCGCTTATGATCAACAGCTTTATAATCATATTCTTTCATCCTGCATCATTGTTTGTGTATCAAAACATGGCATCAGTATTCCCCCCCGCAAAAGCTCGTCTAGCGGCACAGATCAAGGCTGTGCCTGGCTCTTTTCAACTCAGACTAGAGTGGATAAGAAAAAGAGAGAGACGAAATGTTTGACCTACAAGCGAGGAGACCAGACAATGGCGAGTTATTTATATCGAGTGGAATCCAAGTGCACATCCAAATGCACTGTCTTATTGATTTCAAAATGCTTTCAAGACCCCGGCTGTCATAATGGAGTGTCCTCCCAGTGATCTCAAAGGAAGTGAATCTTTAGATATTTCCAGTGATCTTGGTAAAAGGCCGTCACTCCCACACGAAGGGTCAATACAAAATCAAGGACGGCTGATGTCTGCAGGAGAAGAGAGCGCAGCATGCAAATGGAAGATGGGAAGTCACCCACCTTGGTAAGTGAGTTTGAAGCCCTGTCTGTTCTCAGAGTGGTCGCTGTAGAAGTGGATGACGGTTTCATGCATGCTGCTCAGTATAGGGGGCGGCAGTTGGCTTCCGCTGAACTGTCCGATGAGAGAGCTACTGTGGTGCGGCCCATTGCGAAACTCTAAAAAATCGTGGTTATCCTCAGAGGTGAAGTTGAGAAATTGGATGTGTGCCCCTGCGGAGTGATCACAGTGGTTAGACTTTCACAGAGGGTTATGTGCAGAATTTACATAAGGAAAGCCTTTAAAGTATCAGGTTTTTTTTTTAAACAATAACTCTGACTGGCCTGTACAGACCAGTTCTTTCCTCTGCTAAGAGAGATGCTGTTAATTGCTAAATCACAAATAGTTTTTTCCCTCATGTTCATATGTATGGAAAACAAAGTAACAGTCATGTTAGCTCAGTAACTGGCTCCATGTGAACTGTGATACTGCTGGGAAACCGGAAGGGAACTTACATATTACTAATAAACTGATCCCCGGAGACTTAAGTTTAACAGCATCAAATTTAAATGAAAATGTGGTTTTTAGACTGTTTAGAACGCATTTTATTTGTGCCTTGTTTACTTTAATAACAGCATGATAATAATAAGCTGACATGGACTTCACAGATTGGTAGAGTATATTCAAATGAAAATTGTCATGTACTCACCCTCATGTCATTCAAAACCTATAAGACTTTTGTTCATCTTTGAAATATAAATTAAGACATTTTTAAATGAAATTAGAAATTTCTATCCCTCCATTGAAATCCATTCACCCAAAACTTTGATGCTTAAAAAAGTCATTAAGAAACGTAATCCATATGAATCGAGTGGTTAAATCCAATTCATCTGAACAGACACAATTGCTTTATACAGTGTGATGAAAAGATTCAATTTAGGCTTTTTCATACATGCTTGCTTGATGCACAGGAGACAATAAGGTTTGTTCTCGCATGCCATGAAAGCACTTTTGAGCTTCGGTTTAGCCTATTTGATGCACTCTATACGTGTGTTGATCAGTTTTATATATGAATAAAAGACTAAATTAAATCTGTTCAACATATAAAGGGATCGTGCATTAGAAGACTTGAATTAAAATGCACGATTCATATGGATTGTGTTTACTCTGTTTGTATAAACTTTTTGAAGAATCAAAGTTTTGATGGTGAATAGACTTTTAGTGGAGGGACAGAAATCTCTCAGATCTTCATTTTTGTTTTGAAGATGAACTTAAGTCTAATGGATTAGAAAATAATATTTAATGACATTTTTAATATTGATTGAGTTTGTCAATTTGGTAAGTCACTTTCAAGACTAAAATATGACATATTAATATTTTAGTCAGTTATAATAGTACTAATATCTTACTAATATAATTTTGAGGCATTCATTTGAAAGTATTGAGCACCTATAATTTTTTTTTATTATTATTTATTTAGTTTTTGATGGCCTGGACATGATTCTTTGTAATGTATTGTGATACATATTGTATCGTGACATATGTGTGATGATACATATTGCATTGTGAGGTATCCAACCATTTAGCTTACACCAGTGGTTCCCATCCTGGGGTCCGCACCAGGGTCAAACATGGATGGGAAAATCTTTTTCCTACTACATTATAAAAAAAAAAAACCTTGACCAATCGCATTAATAGTAGCTGCTATGTGTCTGCATATATGTGCTGCTTACCTTTCACTCTCTTCTGTACTCTTTCCCTCACACAAGAGCATTTCTCCTCTTTAGAGTTTATCAGTAGATGCACTGGGGTGCGTTTCCCTAAAGAATCGTTAGCCAACTAGGTCGCATCGCAAACGTATGTGGTAAGAACTACAGCTCTTGACCTGTGGTTAGAAGCATAGTTTCTTGTTAGTAAGACATATGGACTTAAATAAATTATACTTTTGGGCAGAACAAGCAAGCTAACATGCAGTACAATCTATATCTTCAATTCAATTAAAATATATATACATTATAATCGATAAATTTTAGCGGAAACCCAGAGTATGACGTAAGAGGAAACCCACTATGAATCAAACATCAAATAAAGCAAAATGACAGGGAACAAAACATAGAAATCTCGAATCAATTAATTAGCAGAAGTTATTATTCCACCACATGCGTGTGACCTCATTAACAACGGCCCTAAATTGTTGAACTAATGTGGTTCAAACGACGGAGATGCGACCGTGTTCGGGAAACAATCGTGGCTGGCTAGTTAGTTTCCACAACAATGCATCGTACTATGGTGGTTAATCAGTGTGTTACGTCGTCGTACGGGAAACGCACCCCTGGCTGACTGGCCATTAGTCAGAACTGGCCATTTTTTATTTTATTTTGGCCGATCTCTGTACAGACTTGCACACAAAATGCATTGCAATCCCTCCCTAATATTTTACACTTCAAGCTCCGAGTAAATTTTTTTTTTTACTTTTTTTTTTCACTTTCACTGATGAATGGTTACAATATTTAATTTAGTTCTGTTTTATTATTATTATTTAGTTATTTTATTTATTTACAATCAAGCTACCATTACTTTGTTGCACTGTGATGTGCTGGACTTTACAAATATTTTATTGTGCTTTTGTTTTATTGTGCTATTATATATATATATATATATATATATAATCAGAAGGTAATTTTAATGCATTTTTTACTTATTTACTTAATATTTATGAAGTTGTTTGTAATCTCAATGAAAAAGCTTTGGTTTTTTGCAGTAAATTTGAGTCCAAGTGTTGCCAGCATTTCAGTGTTTTGTTGGGTGGGTGGAAGGGGGTTTCCTTATTTCTGGTTCTGTGGTTGTCACTGTATTTCAGCAATGCTCCAAGCTCCAAGTCAACATGAAATAGTACAGGAAAGATGGCAGTGTGAAATTTTACGATCACGCAACAACCAAAAGATTTGAACTTAACATTCATTACCTAAAAGAAAACAGTTGGATGATATGACAACAAAAGAATTGTCGGCCGTTTTCACTGAAAGCGTGCGTCGCTCTGGGATGCCTTGGGCAGCTCTTTTAAAGATGAGCTTTATTGTCATTCTGATGCGGTGCTATCCTCTAACTGCACTTAACTCTACCTATTCAGACTGTCCTAAAAGCTATAATCAGCACCCACAAAGCCATCTGTGTGTCTTATTCAAATGATTGTAGCCTGTTAACAGTGAAAGCTAATGCATTTTTGCTGCACAGCGCAAATATGATGGTTCTAGCTCTTGCTTGTGCAGTGCCTGCTTGATAAGGCAGAAAATTGCTTTTGGAGATCTCAATGTTACATTGTTTTCCTCCAAGTTCGAGGGGTTTGGAGAAGAAATAGTTGCGCTCCAGGATAAGTGTGAATGGCTTTTTTTTTTTAAAGGGGTCATATGACGTTGCTAAAAAGAACATTATGTTGTGTATTTGGTGTAATGAGATGTGTTTATGTGGTTTAAGGTTCAAAAAACACATTATTTTCCATATAATGTACATTATTGTTTCTCCTCTATGCCCCGCCTTTCGAAACGACAAACAACAAGCCTACTCTACACTGCTCAAAACTCGCGTTTGAATCATCAGTGGCAAATTATTTAAGTATAAAAAACGTACTTACAGGCTGTGAGTCAGAAGCGCAGACTGTCCTTGCAAAGTTGGAACTGCCCAATTCTTTATGCACCAAGAGCTTGTAACACTCCAAAGAGAAAGGAAAAATTGAAATCGCATCATATGACCCCTTTAATGACATGCATTTACCTTGTTAACATTTGGAATTGTTATTTTGTTCTCAACTCATTTGAACTGTGAGGCGGGAGAAAGCAAATGGGCTACGACTAAATGACTTCAGAGAGTTGCATCGACTGCCAAAGTCTCTAACAACATCTTAAAAGTTGAGATAAATTAACCAAATAACACCCTTGTGTCAAGTGGAAGAACATCAAATGAAAGGAAGTATCACTTTGTGCCTGATGGCATTCAGTGCGACGCTGTCCATTTCTGGGTATCTATCCGGGTAAATACCTAATGCATGAGTTAGCTCATGCAATAAAGCTAATAGGTGTCATTCATGAAAGAGTGAATTTCTATGTAAAACGCTCAAAAACCATGTTGTCGCACTGAACTGAATGCAGACTTGAATACTATAACTAATGGTACTACCTTTTCACTGTAAAGCTGCTTTGACACCATCAGTATTGTATAAAGCTCTATATAAATAAGGTGACTTGACTTGACTATCAAACTAAATAGTGTGTTCTGATTTCGAACAACTTTAATCAAATATTGATATTTTAACTATTATTTCCTAGCAAGACAAGCAGAAATGCTGTGTAGATTTGATTTAGTGACATTTAATGATTTTTATTTTTTTTTTATTTTTTTTTCTGTTCAACCGAGTCATTACATGAATAAACCAGTTTGTTAAAATTAGGTTTTCTTTTTGGTGGAAAGCATCCCAATTTTGCAGCTATGGTCAAGCACCACTGAAAAAAATTAAAGTCAACATGAAATTCTGTAGCCTACAAAGAATAAGAGGTTTGGAGAAATTATGAAAGGATAATTTTAAGCCATTTTACAGTCATTTTTTAAAGTCACGGTAGATAAAAAAAAAAAAAAAAAGATAGATAGATAGATATATAAATAATAAAATTTTTCAATCATTTAAAAAAAAATAAAATTGCATAGGGTGTTACATACCAAATAGAAAATGTGTCATTCTTTACTCATCCTCAAATGATTTCAAACCTCTATGAATTTATTTTCGTCTGTTGAATACAAAAGAAGATTCTTTGAAGAATGTTGTTTCAATGTATCTTCTTTTGTGCTTAGCAGAAGAAAGTAATTCATACAGGTTTGGAACAACATGAGGCTGAATGAATAATGACAAATTTTCTATTTTTGGGTGAACCATCCCTTCAAGAAAATAAACAGGGTCTATTTCAAATTCATGTTTACTTTTAAGTCAGTAGATTCGCTATTTTAAGCAGTTTCCCCTCAACACTGGTCATACTGCAGTGTACAAAATAAAGGGGACACGAAAGCATTTGAAGCTGTAATCTCCAGACAGCTGATCCAGTGCCAGCTCTCGGCGCACCCACCGTATCCAACAGGAAGCATGATCCTCCAGGTGCAGTCCAAGTTTCCAGGGTAGTTCCCAGGGAAACCCGGGCTCAGGATAACATTGCTCATATCGTACAGGGTACCGCCACACTTCGCTGAAGAAACATAAGGAGACACAAAAGAAAATGCCCAGGGTGATTGAATATTAAAAATCCATATGGTTAAAAAAAAATCTGCCATCTGATTATTATGGAAAAACATACCGATACAGAGTGGAGGGGGGTAATTCCAGCGACGTACGGTTCCCGGCATACACGTCATGTGAGAATGTCCCTGGAAAACAAAGAGGTCACATGATGCAGCAGCTTCTCCATCTTGTTATTTTTGGCACTTTTCTATGTGCAGGTGCAGCATGTTGCATTTGTGTGTCAGGGCTGCGGATAATCAGCAACTCACCTGAAGCATGTACCCCGGCTCACAGCTGAATGACACAACCTCGTTCATCATGTACCTGTCACCGTTCTTGAAGCCATTGGCCGGGATCACGGGCTCCGGGCAGGTCGTCAGTCCCACAGCTAAATGGGTCAGAGAAGGCATTAACACGTGTTCTTAATACAGATTCAGCCTATTACGTCACAGCTGTCACAAACAGGTAAATTATAGTGTCAGGTATTCCTAATCATCTGAACGCATGTGCTCATTGTAATTTAATGCTGTCTTTCATCCACTCGATTTCAGTGAGTAAATTCGGGACCATAATAGACTGCGCGAGGGTGTTGCCATGGTGACGGCTGTGCTGTGGTGCATTCCTCGCACGACGAGTGACATTGTGCTTTTGTGACAGTGGTGTGTGCTTTTTTCTGTATTTTTGCAAGAATCACTCACAGTGTACATTTTTGATCAAGCTGTACTGCGGAAATATGTAAACAAACGAAAAAAGATGAAAAGAGAATATTGCTTTTGTGATTATGATGGTCACTACAATTCAGTCAATAATACATTAAGGGAAAAAACTAGATCTGAAGGGAATCATCTTGCATTGTACACTGAAAAAAAAAAAAAAAAAAACTTTTTCTTACAGTCAAATTTATTAGCTTTTCTCAAATTATATTTTTGGCTTGGTTCAAAGTTTTGATTTAATTTAGATTTAGATTTTTAAGATTAATCAATAATATTTATTTTTCCAAACACAAAAACATTCATACAAAGTAAAATGATTATTTATTATAAAGACACATGTACTTATTCAATATATTTTCTTTAGACATAAGCCAAATGCTACTTAATGCAAATCAAAATCATGATTTTTCAATCATTTTTTTCCTTAATTTGACCATGAACAAATCAGCTAAAATATGAAAGAGGAATGTTCATATTTTGTTAATCAAAGTTTAATTTCGTTTACCTACTATAAATGAATAGATTAATTTAAAAATGCATTTTAAATAAATTACACATTTTTATTTATTTTTCAGTGTAATGCTGCAGCATAATTTCTCACGTTTTACTGTGGGGTCTCTCAGAGGATGTATTATGAAACTGGGCAGGAAAAGGGTTTATGTTCTGAGAGCTGAGCTAAAGATGACAGCTCAAAGCTGATGGCGATGCTGCATAATGAAGTGGTTTGCCAAGATCCTCTCTTTCTCACCACATTTCATCTTTATTCATAGCCCTCCAGTAAATCAGTCAACATGATACTCAAATTTTTAACAAAGCTAATGTTGCAACATATATTAATCTGAGTGGCATGAGATGCTCCTGAAATGAAAAGGCAAAGTCCCTCTTAGTGTTGGAGTTTTTTTTAGTTTTTTTTTTAGTCCAGTTCCATTTCAGTAAATAAATTCAGTTCCAGTTCTATTTGATGTTTCTGGGTTGAAGGCATAAGGAACAGCATTTATCTTACACTAACAACAAGAACATACTATTTTATATTATTCACATACACTGAAACAAGTGAAATGACATTTATTTCAAGTGCATTTTTATACTGGCTTAACTGAAAATCATTGTTTGAAACTTAAACCTTTTTTGTTCAGTTTGCAGAGGTGTAAAATACTTGAGTAATTTTACTTGATTGCTGTGCTTAAGTGTTATTTTGGGGTATTTTTACTTTATTGCACGTTTGAGGTGTGAGAACCAATGAGGTTTGTTTTCATACCTTAAGCACACACATTTCAGCTTCAGTTCAGTTAACTTTCATCAGGTAAATGTCTGGCATCAAAAGTTTGCCATCAAATGAGAGTAAGCACGGCATATTAAGTTTATTCATTATTTTTGTCTGTTTTGATATATAGCCATTAGCTGTCTATGGAGTATTTTGGCTGAACGCACAAGATTAAGTGCAAATAAATTCAGTGACAAGAATTTAAATACAATTCATGTTTTGGTGGGAATTATTGTTTTTTTTTTTTCATATTAATTGTTACAAATCTCCAAAAAGTGTTTAAATGAATATTGTATGTTAAATTAATTCTAAATCATGTTTAGTGATGTTCTTACCAGGCAGTGGATTGATCATTACTTAATCTAATTAGTCGCAAATCATTATATATTAATATTTGCTGAGAAAAAAAAAATCTAAATGCCTCAAATAAACAATTAAAAGATGAATTGTTGCAGACAGAAGCGTTGAATAGATAACACAAAAAGTGGCTTTTTCAAAAAGTCAATATTGCATGTTTTAATTCTATGTCACTCCTTATTAAATCAACACATTCTTGTATTCTGTCTGCATGTTTCTGGCCTCCGCATCACATCTGGCTCATTAAAGTCCACCCAGAAATGAAAATTCTCTCATCATTTCCTCACCCACATGCCGTCTCATATGTATATGACTTTCTTTTTTCAGATGAACACATACTAAGATTTGCAGTGCATATAATGCAAGTGTATGGGACCGCTTCAAAAAACGCACAAAGTAATCACGACAGTAAAGTTTAAAATATTCATATTTGTATGCTTCTTTCACTCACCTATCATTTCACTTAAGAAGACACTTATTCACCAGCTGGGGTCGTATGGATTAATGTCGTGTTCACTTTGTGTAGTTTTTGAAGTATCATCTTTAGATGACCCCGTACACTTGCATTATATGCAGAAAAACAGATTATTTATTTTTTATCTTAAACTCTGAGTTTATGTTAATCTGAAGAAAAAAAAAGTCGCTAACACTTTATTTTAAGGACCAATTCTCACTATTAACGTGTTGCTTACTAGCATGCATATTACTTGCATATTGACTGTTTATTAGCACTTATAAAGCACATATTAATGCCTCATTCTGCATGACCATATTTTAGATCCCATAAACCTACCCCATACCAAAAACTTAACAACTACCTTACTAACTATTAAGAAACAGCTAATTAGGGGTTTATTGAGGGAAAACTAATAGTGAATATGTGTTCCCTTGCATGCAGTTTATTTGTAAGCAATTTGTGACTCTGGACCACAAAACTAGTCATAAGGGTACATTTTTTTAAATTTAGATACATCTGAAAGTCGAATAAATAAGCTTTCCATTGATGTATGGTTTGTTAGGATAGGACAA